CTAGACTGAGAGATGTCCACGTTTGACCCTATTCCCAAAAACCAAACCAACACACCTCCTGATCAAGCAGTTTTAAATCAGTATGAGGAAGATAGGTCAAATAAGTTCACCGCGGAAGAAATCTAATTTCACTTTTCAGATCTATCATTCACTTCCATAGGTCTAAAAAGCTGTACACAAAGAATTGTGTCAATACAAATAAATTACCTGCACTCTTATCTCCATTTTATCGTTTTTATTGTCCAAGCTTTCAGTCAAACGAGAGCCAACAAACACACAGAGAACAATACACAATGGAGGAAGAGTCATTGTTCAGGACACACCTGCTGTTGATGGACGACAATAAAGGTTATTTTTGAATTACTTTTATGCACTTTATATCAACGTATACGTACGTTTACTAGGTTATAAAGAGTTCAGCCTTAAAATGTTAAAGCTCCCTTCTTCAAAAATGTTATTTTTTCAGCGTGGCCCTTTCTAGATTGCCATTTTGAAATGCTTCATCCAGTCAGTCAGGATGCATTGAATTTAAAGGCAAACCAACCTAGTTTTACAAAACTAGATCCTCTCTCCTAGACTGCTCAGCCTGTCAAACGTGGCAATGTATTCTGGAGTGACACGATATCACATCAGATTCTTAGGTGTTGAAGCCCAAACTATCACATTAGCTGACTAATGTGTCCCATTTTTAGAGCTGGAAAACATGTCCAAGTGCAGGGGTAACCAAAATGGCAAAAATCTGGATAAAGAAGAAATTAATCACACATATTTAGGCTTTGGTTGCTCCTAGCAACACAACAAGGATCTGTCATTGTGGCAACCACTGTGCTGACTCACTTGTATCCCAAAAAGGGAAGAACTCTTTCTGTACAAAGTAATCGGCTGGATTCGTCTGGCTAGAGCGTGTGGATGATGATAATGGTGTTGGCAGCGATATATGACCTAGATCCTAACCCTAGTTGTATTGATGGGTGACTCTTCTCTGGGTGTGGGGGGGGGGGAAGTGAAATGTATATTGAGTGAGAGAAGACAAAGGATTCAGAAGAAGAATTGAGTGGAAGGAAGAGTTGCCAATGAGTAAAACATGAAAAAGAATCATGAAGAGAGACCCTTTAAATCCTAAAAGCCTCTAGTTGATGGATAAGCCAAACACCAGAGCCAAACTACTCCAATGTTCTGGAAAAACACCCACAGGCTTCAGACATATGGTTGACAGTGGTTGAAAACATGTGAATCATCCACCTCTTAGTTTAGCTTCTGAGTTCAGTCTCTTTCCACCAAACCGATGGACCATTGGGATCAAGTAAACACCGTTTAGTGCCAGTTGAAGTCAAGAAGAAGCTGTTTAGGGAAGAAATGAACTATGAAGTTGCCATTGGAGCTCCCCATTGGGTCAGACCTTTACATTTTTGTCAGATCTACTTAACGTTCTTTGGGCAACGGTCAGCAGAGCTCTTGACAGGGTGCAACCGCTCGTTGGGTGGTGTCAAATACACCCTTCTGAGAACACTTATATCATCACCATGTACTGTTACAGCAGGGTTATTTTCTCGTCATACAGGAAGGAGATTAACTCACACCATGTTGCCTTCTCACTTCCCTCCTATGCCAGCTGCGATGATGTTTGTCCACATGTTTCTCTCTGATAAGGGGAGTGTGTTCAGCCAAGACCAGATGCTTACTAAGTTAAGCTACAGAATTTGCATATATATTTGATAAAAAAAACGCTCTTTTGTGGAGGAGGAGTTGGTTTTATTGGTTTGTTTCCTCTTTTTGAGTTTTGTCAGAAAACCGCTTCTTCCCCATAATTTCTTGTGATATCGTGGTCCTATTGATTAATTAAAAATGTCTCCAAAGATGTGTTTGTTTTGGGGTCACAATGAGGTGAACTGAGGTTAAAGCTAAGATTTGGAAGTAAAAACAGACCTACAATCAGCATTACTACCCTGCAAATGGAAACAAAATCTCCGATGAGATTTGGGCTGTTTTCAGAGCATCATGATTCATGGCAGTTTGGGAATTATCTCTTAACTGTGGAATCAAATGAATATCTCAAATTCACTCACAGTGGAGGACTTGCACTCTAGTTTCACATGCTGCTAAAATTGAAAATGTGTGCATTGGTTTGTTCGCCTCATTTGAAAACTTTATCACTGCACTCTTTTTATATTAAGAGCCTCTTGTATTCTGGCAGCTCAGGTTAAAAAAAACATGACGGAAGTCAGCGCTCTGTCATCCCTCTTAATTCAAACGGACACAACAGGGCATTGGAAAAGAACAGATGTTTCCCGTTTGTATGGGAAATCTCTTTGGGAGCAATTATGTATTAGCAACTTTGCCTGTTGTGAAATATTGATCTTCTTTTTTTCTGTAATTTTTAACAATCCACTTTGTAATATTCTTGTAAGAATTCAAATCGGCAAATCATTTTTTTTAAAATATACACTATAGCAGTGGTTCTCAACTGGTGGGTCGCGACCCAATAGTGGGTCGCGAACTCGTTTCGAGATGGGAGTGAAGAAAAAAAATTTGTTTTTTCAAACTTTTATTTTGAAGGCCCGATTTCCTAACGTTGTGCATGCAGTAGGCGTTGGACTGGAAGTACCGGAGACCATAAACGGTTTTGAAAACTTCTGTCACGTAGTGATCATCTTCTTAATAAAACATATTTGCTGATGTTTTTTCGAGTCTTCTGGCCAATCAGAATCAAGATTGTTGCCGGAAGTCCCCACGGAGAATAACTTTGCGGTAGAACTATTCTTTATACATCCATGGGTACAACTTCAGATACAAATGAACACGTAATGAAATATGACCCCCGGTCTGATGATTGACAGGTCACAGAACAATGGGGGCTATCTACGGTCCCTTACCCACAATTTAAAGTAATTTATACAGACTATCTCCTCTTTACTCTTCTCTCTGTGTGGAGCAGCAAGCTGTCAGAGCAAAGTGAAAAACAAACAATGGCATAAAATATTATTAATATGTCGGGTAGAAAAAGATTTATTTATTTTCCTCTCAGAGTGTACCAGAATGCGTAGTTTATATGTTAGTATTTCTAAAAATCTCCTGGGGGAGAATCCCCCCAGACCCCCCTTCTGGGGTTGGGTTTTCAGCACATGTGCCTTTTTGTGTTATACAGTTCAGCTTTGATTCCATCATCTCATTAAACCTTAATTAAAAGCATACTTTAGTTTTGTGAAGGGATATAAGGAATATATACACTGTACTTCACTTTAATTAATATTGTATGCTGCAAAGCGTATATATTACAGCACAATTTTTTTGTTGAATAGATTTGAGTGGTTCGAAATTTCAGGTCGCGATCTATTGACTAAGGAAAAAGTGGGTCCAGAGTAAGGCTGCACGATTTTGGGAAAAAATGTAATGGCGATTTTTCTGACAAATATTGCGATTGCGATTCAAATTGCGATATTTATTTTTAAGCGACCCAACGGAAATGTATTGTAAAATGCGGCCATAACTCCGTCTATAGCACCCCCGCAGCCCGAGCTACGAGTGAAAGAACTAAACTTACATGAAACTTCCGTTAGGTTGCTTTAAAGTCAAGCTTCAGTTTAAGATTCACCCTGTAATAGATGTAAAACATGTGATGGAGCATTACTAACCTGACTCAGATGGTTTGTTTCACCAAACCATCTAGGAAAGCTCCATTGGAAGCCAATTGGAAAGGGCAGGCACTTTCAAAAATACTTGGCAGGTGATAGGATCAATCTGTCTATCACCTTCTATCATGGGCCACTTCTGATTGATTAACAATGGCTGGTACATGTGGAGCACAGCACTTCTGATTGGTGTGGATGACTGACACACAAGAAGAAAAAAAAAAAAAAAAAAAAAGGAACAAAAAATCGCAGGCTTTGCGATTTGATAATCGCATCATTACAAATCGCGATTTCGATTTAAAATCGATTAATCGTTCAGCCCTAGTCCAGAGGCCTGACCAGTTGAGAACCACTGCACTAGAGCTTGTCTGCTCTCAGGCCTACTATACCATTAATGTCACAGTTTAAAATTAGACTTGATATTGTCCAGAGAGGACTGTACTGCTGGACAACGCATAAATCCACCAGTGTTGTTGATTCCCCTCGCTCTGGACTGAGTAATACTTGAAGGCTATACAGTGAAACAGAAACAGAGCTCAGTGCTGCTCCAGATCCCTGTGGCATGAAAGGACTCCTCTGTTGGCTCTGGTCGCTGACTCCTTCCCCCCTGAGAGACCATCGTTTTACTGGTCTGCCCTCAGCAGACATTGCAGCCTTTCATCTCTCAGAGGAAGGGCAGCAGCTCCTGGGCTTACGCTTAGAAACTTTACATCTTTGAGCCGTAAACAGGATAATTTATGATCAAAACCCAACTTTTAGAATTCAGTAACACGTTGATATTATTATTCTGAGCCAGTAGTGTTCAAGGTTTTCTAATGCATATTTATTAAAGTAATTCATTTTTATAAAGGGGACTGGCTAATTAATGGAACATTGGTGCAATTTCAGTAAGAAAACACTGTGCTTTCGAGGAGTATAAATAATGCATCACAATTTGGCCCTAGCATTTTGAAAAAAGGGAGATGAAAGAGTCCTTTTCTAATAATAGACATCTGGGAGGATATGAGTTTAATACACAATGCATTTTGATGTTTGAAGGCAGGGTTCCTTTCCGTCAAATGTCTTCTACAATCTAGATTCAGTAGTCAATAAACTCATCTCATCAATTCTTTTTTGAGGTCACAAATATATGTTCAGAAACACATGCTTCATCCATTATTGGTTTCAGGCTCTGCCATTTACCACAATCGATTTTATTAGTGTCCGGGGCAATGGCTGTTGTAAAAAGATTACGACCTCGGTGATGAAAAGCACAGCCTCACGATTAAATTAAATCTTCTTAAGATGCTGTATGACGAGTATATTGAATCCCAGAGGACCTTGTTGTGCCGTACCATCGATCACATCTTCTGTCTTCGCTGTCATTTACAGACGGTGGACATCCATAAAGAGAAAGTGGCCAGGCGGGAGATCGGGATCCTGACCACCAACAAGAACACGTCGAGGACCCATAAGATCATAGCGCCGGCTAATATGGAGCGGCCTGTCAGGTACATCAGGAAGCCTGTTGACTACAATGTATTGGATGACGTCGGCCATGGTGTCAAGGTGAGTGTTCCAGATATTTGGGGTATTTTTCTCGACTTTTAGATCTGCTACCTCATCAGATTTGTGCACACTCCATTAGTTATTCTGCTTCTGTTCTTACACTATGTCTGATGTTCTTCCCTCCCCCCTTCCTCTCTTCCTTGCCGGAGGTTTGCTGGTTTTCTGGCTCACACTCCATCTCTTTCATCTTCAGAAAGCACCCCTTCTGACCCTACAGTAATACGTTTCAGTGTGGGTTGGTGGGAACTGGTTGGGGGTAGAGATGAACTAAAAAAGTGATTACATCATCTAGCTTTCAGAAAACGGCCCTATTCTTAGAATGATCTGTAAACGGGCGAGCGGAGGACAGATTTGTGAGACGTTTTTAAAGGCACTTAGGCCTCGGACCGTCCTCGTAATCTCGTTCTCTAGTTTCTCTTAGCAGACGAATGATGTTGTTAGAATTCGATTTGTAGTTTATTTTCACATCAGTGCAATCTAAAAGGCTCTGGAGAAGCTGATTTTGATGTGATAAACTCTGATAATCTAAGTGTGACATTTTAACTCCCACTCTACCATTAGAGCTCACGTTAGCGGTCACTGGGTCATCCTTGTGGTGGTGGTAATGTCATCATTTCCTGATGGCCAAAGGCATTTTTGCGACCTCTCTACCCTCCCCCCTGAGCGTTCTCTCCCCCATCAATCAGCCAATCAATTACAGCTCTCAGATAGATCTAGTTAGAGGGCCGCCATTACCGTACCGCCGCGTTACGGGCATTAAAGGCAGGATAAAAGCCATTGTGCCCTGTCATGGTGGGAGGATGGGGTATAAAATATTTTATTTGGGGGTGTTCCCATTTAAGGGGTCATTTTTACACTGCTTATTAATGTTCAAATTGTACTTAAAATAGTTTGAAGATGTTTTATGACATACAAGAACTGTTGCTTATTTTGAAAGAGGTGTTATTTTAATAACTGTATTAATTTCCTCTTTTCTAAAAAGGGACTCATGTCTTTATGCTAAATCTGAAGCTTGAGGAGGGATGTTAGCTTAGCATAAGGCCTGAAATCATGAAGCTATGACTAGACTGCTCTGTCCAAAGTTCCAACAGCAATTCAACAAAACAATTACTACCACAATCTCTCACAACCTTCTCAAGGAGGCTAATGAAGAGTTACAGTAACTAGATATAAAAAAATACTTGAGTAAAAAAAAAAAACTAATGTATGCATTAGTCTTCATCAAAAACTTAAAGGGGACCTATCATGCAAAATGCACTTTTGTACGTCTTTTATACATGAATATGTGTTCCCGGTGTGTCAGGAAACTCACCAAGTGTCAGAAAACACAACCCTCTCTCTTTTCCTCCATACCCAAATCTCTAAAAACGGGGCTGCAACGGATCTGATACAGATTTGAAATATCTCTGACGTCAGAAACGAGGAGCTCCGCCTATATGGGCAACTCTCCAACTATCAGGAGGAGACAGCCACGGCCATTGCCATTCGAAAGCGCTGGAGACGCTGTAGTATATATGCCAGGCCTGTAGGTGGCGCTGTAGTCTGCCACAAAAGCAGCGAAGAAGACTTCTCACAGATTCAGCCCTTGCAAAAACAGTGCTCAAAAAGAGCAAATGGAGCGAAATGAGGCATGGCTAAAATGCATGATCTGTTTGGTATTTTGAAAAAAAAAAACGTTGCAGACATGTTTTATATAGGTATGGCCCTACAATATATTATTCAAATATAGCATGATAGGTCCACTTTAAATCAACAGATTATGTAGTTGACAAAACAATCTCACGACCTATTTAGCAGCTACTCTGATACTTTTTATAATATTGAATGGTCTATATATCCTGTTCATTTATAAGAACATATCATGTATCTGCTCACAGGGCAAAAAACAAGCAGAATCCCAGTGAGGCTTGTGTGAGTCATCCACATTCCTGACTCTACTGTGTTAGAATAAACAAAAGAGCTTCTAAAAATCAGGATAGCAATACGTCATCGCTCAATAGTGTCAAATTACCGAAACCATCGTGCTTCATGGCTGCTTTGAGAGTGTTTGATGCATCTATTAAAAGAACATTGCATATTACTCTGGTCCTAATCCCAGCAGATTCTTTATTCTTAAATTTGGTAAGTGAATGTGACGGGGAACACACACACAGATACACACTAGCTCATGCAGCCGTCCTATATCACTCACCTCCTTTCATCTATGCATGTCACGGCCCAAAGAGCCAATCTATATTTTCAATAATATCAATCAATACTTCATATTAATTCATATAGTATGCCGTGATGGCTGCTGTCAGATACCCGGCTTGTATAGAATATCTATAGCCATGGTTTACTTACTGACCAGGATCAATACTTTAATGGGAGTTTAAATCATGTCCATTGCCTCCAGTTAACTGTGAAGCGCTTTGCATGTGCCTGAGTGTTTACACTGGCCTACATTTTGAATTGGTTTTACGGCCTCACACAATGTTTGTACAGTTAAACACCACGGCGTGAGCTCTAGTGCAGAGAAAAGACAATAAAGTGCTCACATAAATGATTTAATAGAAGCTGTTCTCAGATCCAAAGTAGCAATAAAGAAAGAAGATGAATTGAGAGAATAAAGACTTTCAAATTCATCTGATAGATAATCTTCTCTTGGCGTCATATCAATAATAAATAAAATCTCTTAGTTGACAGATCCGGATATTTTCTCAAGGCATTTTGACAGTGGCGTGATGTTTGAGCTTCAAAGATAATTCATTCTTCCAGTCAGCTGATGTTTAATCTAGTCAACTGTGATGATGTCAGGTGTTTGACAGCATTACTCCGACATGTAGTGTTTTGTCGTTTATGAGTTTAAAAGGTTAGTTTAAAGGGAGAGACGGCAGCACAGTTCAGCAGAAGAGCAATTGGTGTCCGTTTGTAGTGCAGCCACAACAAACTCCATGTTGTCAAATATCTGATTTTATTTTCTACACAGTGATAGAAATGTTTCCATAGAAAGCACTGTAAAAACAGATGGTTACCTTCACCTAACAACTCACTGTGGCTGCTTTGTCTTATTGTTCCTCTTACACCTGTCCAAAAATGCCAAAGAATACTATTATCTTGTTCTTTAGATGACTGTAAGCACTAACTGAAGGGTCACATACACAGTAATTCATTCATACCATGTTAAATACAGTAATATTGGATCAGATTTATGTTTAGTTTCCTGTAAAGCCCTTGTGTGTAGCCAGTCAATTACAAGATCAATTAGTAGAGAGCATATCAATATTTAATTACGATTGGCAGGGTTTGGAAAAAAAAGGGTTTCAACTAATGTAAATCAATAAAAAGAGGTTTACATTTTAAACATACTAGCTAATTGATTACCCAATAATCAAATAATGTAGGAGCAGATGGGAAGTGTGAGTTTAAGAGTTATAATCTGAGTTAAAACAAACCAATTCAACATGAGCAACTGTTATGTCACACCAGCAAGAAAAGTCAGATTTGCATGTATACACAGTTGTCATCTTGTTAGATAATTTGTTGGGATGTATCCTTGTCAACAAACCCAAGCTCAGGGGGTGTATCTCTTTTTAAGTGAAAGATTACTTGCTAATCACGCCACTTTGACAGACTTCATTGCCTTAGATTTTCACCCCAACTCAGCAGGCTAAGCCTTTTTGGACTTGATAATAGCCGTAATCTGAACCGGAGTCTGTCCCATAATTGAACTTTGAAATAATTCAAGCATTTCCACGCTGTCATTCTGGTTTCGGCAGCAGAACAGATACAGCATTAGCCGGGAAGATAAGAGAATGCTGTAGTAGGCTTTTGCCTTCCTAGCATGACCTAGATTGAAAATGGAATCTCGTCTGGCTCTGATAACCCGGGGAGAGTGAAATTTGAATGGGAAATGTACCATTCAGAGCTTTTCTCTCTTTTTAAAGTGGCAGAAAGCTCTCGTCATGCTGACCTTTGCCAGGAATGTGCTTTTGGTTTCATCTTCACGCTTTCACCGTGGTCTTGTGACGCTACAATGCTTTCTGCAAAGGCCACTAGGGAAGCTGCATTATAGATGAGCCACTTGACTCGGCAGTTGTCAAACCCCACTGTTATGTTGGCTTTATATTCTCTTTGACAACAGCCCGACCAAGTACAAAGGTGTTTTTAATCGCTGCGGGTGATGTGATAATCTGAAATTGAATCTAAACATGAATATGTACAAAAGAAAATATGAACATGAATTCCCAGTAGACTTAAAATCCATATATATGCAACAAACCTTTGATTTATGAAGATAAATTCACTTTCAGATTGAGATAAAATGTGTTTTTAATTGGGCACAATAGCTTTGCCATCAGATCCCAGTGATTTGCTTCTAGTCTGTCTGGTACTGGGTGTGGTACTGTATGTCTGAGGAAAAAGAGCAGCAGGCAGGAGCTGGTAGAATGACTTCTAACCGCTGACCTGCCTGGGCCTTGCTAAATGTTTACTCAGTGTAAATACCACTTTTTTTGCTCGCTTGTACTTTGACTTCTACTGATCCGTTTGGACATGGCCATTTTGACATGCCCTGTTTCTGTCTCTTTCTCCTGTTTTTTCTCCTTTGCCTTCAAAAGTGGCTAAAAGCCAAGGTAAGTGTGGTTGTCACATGACCCATTTTACTAGAATGTAATATTGATAGATCCCAGTTCAACTCCCTTTCACAACAAACCCCTGTATGTGTAATCATTATTGTCATTTCCCATGTTGTTCCCTTTAACAGACTTGTACTGTAGTCCTCTTCTCCCTGAACACCCTGCTTGTCACTGTACCAACTGTGTGTGTCGTCCTTTACATGTTGTGTAGTTGTCTATAAATGTTCTATAGATTATTCAAAATCCTTCTAGGCTACCCAGACAAAGCTTAACTCGTATCCTTATGTGTGTAATAAAGTATTGCAGAAAATGTATGTGTAATTTGAAATACTGCAAAACCAGATGTTGCTAATTTTAAAGCTTTAGTTATTTGGTGTTATGCAAGTAGCCTTGTTGAAACAACGCAGAGGTTTCTAACTTACAATTAGCAGCAAGAGTTAAACATAAGCCAAGGTGGCATTACATAACTCTTCAAACATTGTCAACTAAAATATACATCTGTGTGTTGAAGAGTCTTAATCTGGGCAGCCTATAACATTTTATTTCTGTCACATAAGTGCCTGAAGTCATTCGTCCGTTGAATACGTGTTTTTTCTTCTTGCCACAGCAACATGGAAACAATCAGACTATCAGAGGAGGAACACTATCGAGGACCAATCCGCCCACGCAGAAGCCGCCGAGCCCTCCCATGTCAGGGCGTGGCACGCTCGGGTAAGGATTTCATTCAGTCGCCACGAAAGGAAGGCTAATCCTCTAATTATAAAACACTGAACATTTCAAAGTTGATGTTGTGGGGGCGACACAAGAACATGCAGTTTTAAGTACATGTCGCATTTATTTAAGATTATTTTTGGGCATTTGTGCTTTCTTTTATGAATGAATGTTTAATGTAGAGTAACATTTAAAGAAGACCGCCCACACTGAGCTAACATCATGTGGTCGTGATGTGGTTTTGGCTTGGAAAAACATTTGAAATGACAAAATTCAAGTGAGTGAAGCCAGAGAAAAGGTTCAAAAGGCAGTCTTGGAACTATATGTCAGTGTCAGGCCTGATGAAGCATGTCATCGTCTGATGCACAGCGGCAGTAATCAGATATTAATTTCCCAGGGTAAACTGTGCCTCACATTTAGCTCGCTGCATCCAGCTGCGTAAACTGATAGGATGGACTACAGTCTACTGAACACGGCCTTGCAGTTCTGATAGCAGATTGAAATATGATCATTCCTGTCCTTGATTCATTATATGTCTTTCCATCTTTGCCCGCTTGCAGACGCAACACATCCTACAAGACCCTGGAGCCGGTGAAGCCTCCCACAGTGCCCAACGACTACATGACCAGCCCCGCCCGACTGAACAACCAGCAGGGCCAGCAGAGCCCCGGACGCACGGCATCACTCAACCAGAGGCAGCGCACACACAGGTAGATAACACACAGAGACACACAGTCTGTCTACAGCAGGGTCGACTTCATTTTATGTGGCCCGCAAGAGCTTGCAAAGAATATAATACGTTTATTATACGGTTACATGCCACTTTACAGAATCGCGTTGAAAATAAACTACATGTCCCACAATGCATCTCATGTTGTGACATGCGCACTGAAGAGGCTTGCAATTATTTGCCTTAGACTTCTGCTTTCAGACGTAGTTAATTATGAAATGTACCCTATAATAATCCAATGCAGAGGCAATAATGTAATTTAAGTAGTGTGTGCGTGTGTGTTGATCTAGTACTGTAGCTAACCCCTAATCTATACTAAATGTTGCGCAAAGTGCACAGAAAGTGTCTAGAAATCTCTCTGCTTCTTTATTAGATTCATGCAATTAATTATTATATAAAAGAACATCGAAGCTCACATGATGGCACCTTATAATCATCAATGGTATAAACATTTTTTTTTTTCAACCATTAATCAGGAATAAACAGACAGTAATTGAAGAGTTGTGGCTCTAATTTTCATACGCTTTGTTAGTGACTGTCAAAGTGTTTTTTTGTTTTTATCATGCTGACTTTTGCATGTGTGGCTGCTTTGTATTTTGGACTTTAAATACTTTTCAGCTTTTCAACTATATAGCCTGTGGACCAGTGTAAAACAAAATGTCATCGCGGGCCACATTAACGGTGGGGTAGGTAAGTTTCAGAAACCGGCTCGAGTGCACTAAAATTTGAAAGTACACAGCCGAAAAGAATCCGCCCCTTCCTTCAGACTTCCTGACAGAGCACCTCCTCCAACACACATGAACGCGCACATGACGTCAGCAGACTGGTGAAAGTGGCCGCTTTTTACAGTATTATGGCTTCCACAGATGATTATTTATGGATTTTTTGTCAAAGCACTTCAGATATTCATTGCTATCGGGATGTTAAGAGCATTCCATGGAATATAACAAAAAGTGTATCTCGAGCCGGTTTCTCAAACTTACCTACCCCACCTTTAAGAATTATGGTTGCACTCAAAGGGCCGGTTGTAACTTTAAGACTATATAAATATACATATATATAAAATAATTTCATAAGGTCAAGTCAGGTTTATTTGTATAAGCAAGAAGTTAAGCAAATACAAAGCAGACAGGAGGAGTGGTAGTGAGATAAATACATTGACAGTATACAGTATCTCAAATAACTTAAAGTGAAATGCCTAAATACAAGTTAAAGTCTCGAGCAAGTTGCACGTATTATAGAGTTAGTATTTGCCTCATAACATCAGGCTAATTGGCAGCCAGATACTGTTGCCACCTGCTGATGATGAAGTTTGAGATACGATATACGATATACTTCTCCGTCCTGCATTGTACGTATACAAACATAGTAAACATTAAAATACATACACATATCATCACTCATACACCGTTTAAACAAACACAATACACAGACGCACATACTGACAATGACGACCTATTGCACAACCCTCATGGTCAACATTTAAAAAGTACATTTCATTACATGTGAATGTTAAGAAGCTTATAATGGACATAGGTAGGAATGAGTGTTTATGAACCCTGAATCTTCTACCAGAAGGTAGGAGCTGGAATTCTGGGTGGAGTATGTGGGTGGGATATTCTAGATCAGTGGTTCTCAACTGGTGGGTAAAAAGTGGGTCGCGGACCCCCTTCGAGTGGGTCGCAGATGTGAGTGAAGAAAAAAAAATTGAAAAAGAAAATGTTTTTTTTATTTATTTTTTTATAAAGTCAAACTTTTATTTTGAAGGCCCTATTTTCTAACGCTGTGCATGCAGTCGGCGTTGGACTGGAAGTGCCGGAAACCATAAACGGTTTTTAAAACTTCTGTCACGTAGTGATCATCTTCTCAATAAAACATCTTTGCTGATGTTTTTTGTTGAATAGATTTGAGTGGTTCAAAATTTCGGGTCACGATTTATTGATAAAGGAAAAAGTGGGTCCCGAGGGCTGACCAGTTGAGAACCACTGATATAGATCAACTAACTTTATGAAGAAAACACTCTTAAATCCTGCAAGTGAAATGGTAATCAACTTCGCTTAGCTTTTAACCGCGAGTAAGACAGGAACTGTGTGTGACTTTATATGCACAGGTGTGAGTGGTATTAGTGTTCCAGCTACCCCTTTGAAATGAACGCTTATGGGTATAAAAGCATCTCTTCAAAATAAAACACAGTTCCCCTCCATGTCACACAGCTCAAATCTCTTCTCTTAGTTCAGCTGTTTGGAGCACTTGCGCACCTCTTCCTCCTCTCCGCTACACTAAATCCAGCATTTGCCTGACAAGGGTTTCTCACCGCTGCCTGAATCACATTGATATTAATATCTGTAAAAGCCTCCGATATAAAGTGCCGTTTAAAAAAAACCTAAGGCAACTGCAGCATGGAAACCCTTGAACATGGCTCTTGTTATACAGCAGTCTCCCCGTTCATCAAATTTGAGTTACGAGTGAGCCTTATTAGCTAAAAAGCCTTTAATGCTGACTGTGATACTCGTGAATGTTACATAACTATTATATTTTCCTTACCCTCGCCTCAACTTCTGTTTCTTGCTCATGTTTGTTTGCACAAAAGTAGTTCTTCTACTTTGTATTGATGTCCCTTTGACAAACAGATGCTGTCCTGAGAGTCGTGCCCCCCCCCCCCCCCCCCCAACGCCCTGCTTCAGATAACATTGTTGCTGCATCACTATTTGATTACACAGGCTTAAAGTCAGCTTTGCTTATTCAGCTCAACCGTCTCTGCCATCCTCAGCTGAGAACTAAATTCAATATCGACGTGTTCCTGCTATTATCATCTAATATCTTCCTGTGGAAAAGATTACACCGGCTTATGCAGGTATCATTTGGAGAAAACATGCTTATTACAGTCGGTCATGGTAATAACATGTGTTACTAGGATTCCTACTTCAACTAAACAGAATGCATTTAAGATGGCGTTTGACTCGATGGGTATAGTATACGTCAAAATGCAATAAATGATTAAAGAATGCAGTAAATATACAATTTATCTCCATTTTCTTGTCATGTTGCTTTGTTGCATTTTGTTCAACATCTCTATACTTCTATCCCTCTGATAAATGCATATACCCCGAAAGAGGTACCCTTCACAATACTTCAACACAATACTCGTAAACACACACTTAAACATTCTATATGATGTGAGATTTTAGAGCAAGTTAAAAAGATATTTGGAACACATAACCATGCTGTATTTGAAGTACACTTTTTTTAAAGTGTATTCTGCTTGCTCAATGACTCTTAAATACTTTTCTTATCTCAAAATAATGATGACTTCTGCCACAGCGACTGGTTTATGATTTTGAAATACTTAATTGGTGCACTTGAAATACACCACGGAAAGAGAGGACTGTACATGTGAAATACAGTAAAAACCCTATATTTATACTGTGTTATTTTGCACCAGCAGGATATACATATGCTGCCTGTTTCTCTGCTGAATACCTTTGTTCATTTCATTTTGCAGTCTCAAAATAAGTTCCTTTTGAAACTCCAAAATACTTAAAATGTGGCTTTTTTTTAGGGTCATACACATTATTTGACAACTGAAAGGACAGTATTTTGCACACTCTGTGTAACCTCGCCAAATCGTAAACCCGTAAACATGAATATGTTATTTCATGTAATAATGATCAATTTGTATCTGTTTAACTTCAATTGTGAAGCATCTCATAACCCATCCACAAGCTCAGAACTTCTTCTTTTTTTTTTTTACAAGATAGCTGAACATTTCGCCCCAGATGTTCCTTTTCAAAATATGTTGCAGTTAGGTCTGAATTTGGCATACAGTAACTGATCTGATTTCTCATCGTAAGATTATTATGGCAGATTACAGAAACCCTCATTCTGTTCTTTATGTGCTTCAGGTTATTTGAAGCCTTGATAACAATCTTCACTTTTCTTATCAAAGAGATTTCAATTGTTTCTCTTGTTAGATTATGCTCCAGGCTCATTTGTAAGTCTTTCTTTCCGCTAATGTCTAGTCATATCACTTCAAAATTCACTTTTTTCAAAACTTTTTGTTCCTTTTACTGTTAACTGTGTCTTTTTCCTCACTGGCTCGAGGACATTTGGTAACTTTGTAAAGCCTTCTCTGTGAGTTAGTTGATTTCTAAACAGCTCACTATGTTGAGTGGTGGCTGAATGAGACAGGAAGGTGGAGAGATGGAGCTGAGTGCTTTCTCAAACGTTTCTGAAACAAAGACAAAAGCCGGGGGAAATATAAATGGGTTAGTGAAGGAACCGCTAATTTATAGAGGGATTAGAATGGATGAATCCAAAATAATCAGATGGGGGGGGGAGTAAAGTACTACGTTCACTTCAAAAGAGGAATGACATTATATTGTTTAGCCTTTATCCCAGAAGACTCCCACTACCACTAACAACCTTCAGAGGGGAAACCCCTGCTGGTCGTGCCTACAGAGCCCCAGGGCCTGACTGACGTGGATCAGAGAGGAAAGGGGAGAGAGGGGCATGATGGGAAAAGGGGATAAAGAAGAGATATGGGGGGAGGTGACGTGGAAGCGGGTGCAAAGAGATGGAAGGAATCAGAGGAGACGGGGGTGAGGGGAATCACTTTACAGGCGAGGAGGGGATGAGAGGAAGAGGTCGAGGGATGGTAAGGGGTGAGAGGTGGGGAGAAGGATCAGTTGAAAAGCAGGGATGAAAGAGGGGGGGGGGGAAGGGAGAGATGGGGCGCGGGGGGCTGTGGATCAAGGCCAGAGAGAGAGTGAGAGGGGGGGGGGGTGTTCATCATTGATCTCAGCGCCTTTGGGTCAAACACAGGGTGAACAGCGCTTATACAGGCCGCGGCACAGCTGACATACATGCTGAATTCACATGCCCTATATCCCAGGGGTGGGGTGGGGGGCGCTGTGTTTACAAAATAATAGAATTACTAGTATCAATTATAAATTTTCTGGTTATGGTAGCAAAGTTCAAATGTAATTGTTTATTATGCCTCTTAACTGGAACTGTGAAATATGTGAGAAAAAAACACTAGCTTTTCAGATCAGCAAATATTTATTAATCAGAATATTATGATAACCAAAATGTCTCATGTCATGATATTGACTTCACATAGCTTTTATTTTCCTTGATGATTAATGTATCTTTCTTTTTATAGATTAAGTCAATAATACAGTCATAAATTCCCCATCACAAGTTCCCGGAGCCGAAACTGACACCTCGTTAATACTTTTTTGTTTGTTTTTGTCCAAGAAAGTCTACAAATTTACAGTTTGCAATGATTTAATGAAGAAGGATTTTATGATAAATAATTGAATTATATTAAAGGTAGGGTAGGTAAGTTTGAGAAACCGGCTCGAGATACACTTTTTGTTATATTCCATGGAATGCTCTTAACATCCCGATAGCAATGAATATCTTAAATCCATAAACACATTTCTTCTGTGGAAGCCGTAGTGCTGTAAAAAGCACGACCAATCATCTGAGCTGGCCCGGCTAAAATAACTGGATGGCCTACCTGCCTGTCAGCCTTCCATCTGTGCACAAACTTATCTCGTGCCCTCATTGGTCATGTGCGTGTTCGTGTGTGTTGGAGGAGGGGCTCTGTAAGGAAGTGGCAGATTTTTTCCGGCTATGTATTTTCAAGTTCTAGCGCACTCGAGCTGGTTTCTCCAAAATTACCTACCCCACCTTTAATTGCCATAAAAATGTATATGATTTATGGTTGTGGGATCCTGATAACAGATGTTGAAACTCATTTCAAATACAGGAATATATAGGTTAACACCTGTGAAACAAGAACAAGACAAATTCACAAAAATTAGCATGTTCTTGCACAATAAATATCTGAAACACATATTCACGTGTCAAATGTTTGGTAAATACAATCACCCATAATCCACTGATAATCCTGCCTGGCTATATTATCATCTGTGGCTACATATTGCGCCTCAAATCCATATGTTCTCATAAAGTGGTTTCGCTATTGTGTCTTGGTTGCTTTGAGTCAATTCACTAATGCTTTAGCGTGTGAATGGATTTGGCAAAAAGCTCATCTCATGTAGAAGTGTTTATTTTAAATGTAGCCTGATATTCAAACCCATTCTAATGTGGGCTGCCAAATACATGCAACATTTTGTTTATGGACAAAATACACAGTGCATATAATAATTGCTGTTAATGTAAGTGTGTATAAAACTTTTGGGACAATCAGAGGATCTGAAGTGAGATAGAAAATAAGAAACTATCAATATTAATGCTATATTATACTCCATTTTACTCTGTTAGTATGATTCCTACCTCACCAGAGTGACTCATGTGTTGTTCAGCGGGGTGTGTCAATCTGCAGCTCAGTACTAAGAAGACAGTTGGGAGAAACATATTCAGTTTTACAGTCTGATAATTGTAAATGATATAGTCCATATATCTGCAGTGTTACCTGCTGTGCAGTGTGAGCATGTTGCCCTGAATATAACCGTGTCCTCTTCCTCTTCTCTCCTCCACAGTGGAAGCAGCGGGGGTAGCAGCAGCAGGGAGAACAGCGGCAGCAGTGCTATTGGCATTCCCATCGCCGTGCCTACACCCTCCATCCCCAACTCTGGACCAGGTGAGCTCTTTGCTAGCAGCACATCATGCAGTGACAGTTGCCAGAGGCCAGCCAGCCTTTTCTCCTTGCTGATATTAAACGAGGGAAGGATTGTATTTAACCAGCTTCAGGCATTTTTTTAAACCGCTAATAAATCCTGCCCCGCCCTGTGCTGCTAACCCACCTAAGAGTTGTATAACCCTTTCCCATGCTCCAAATACAGGAAGAAATAACACTTTTGAGTATTAAAAAAAAAGCAAATATCTGCTTTTTATATTCCCAAAGAAAATAGTTGTTTGCAATATGTGTTCTGAAATGAAAAAACTAACAATATTTAACATTAAAAGGGTGAATATGAGAAAACAGTTGTTTATACAATGTGCATATTTGTCAGAGAGATTTAATTTCATACCCCCATTAGAAACAGTAGACTGAGTAACTGCTAAATAACACACTACATGCCTTTAAGTCCTAAGTGCATATCTGTGAATTTGCAATAAAAATGACCTTATTAAAGAGTTTTTTCGCCAAATAAATGATAACATTTTTGGAAATTTGGAGCAGCAAACATCAGGAAAGAGTTCATATATTTAAATATAACATGTATTATATGCCAATATTAAGCATTAATTGAGGAGGTGTAAATGTAACATGTATTTGCACATGGTAAATCCACGCTACACAAAGCCTATGTTTACCAGACAGGGATTATGCAGGCCCATTGTGTTCTAAGCACAGCTGATTCTCTATCCTTCAGTGTAAATAGGCCACGCTGCTTTAGGCCTGCTGCGTTACAGTGGGACAGTAAGGCTCACATAACACCACACACAGTACTGCTTTACACCATACACACTTCTTAGATACAACTCATTGGACTTTTACAAAAGATTTGAGCTGAAAAGAAATATTTTAGTTTAATGCAGCTTCAGTACCTCAGCGCCAGCCTCCTGCTGCCTGAACAGAACCATCCACTGCTCTCCCTGCAAGCTCGTTGCCATGGAAACACTCCACAAAAGAAGTATTTCCAAGAGTGTGCGGCTCCACGACCAAGTTACAAGTTAAATGGTTACTAATGTAAATACTCCTTTCAGTACCGCCAATGTTCGCTCCTCCGGGGGCCCCACCCCCACCACCCCCTCCTCCTCCTCCTCCTCCTCCTCCTCCTCCTCTTCCTCCTCCCGCTCCTCCCATGGCCGGGCTCGGCCCCCCACCACCACCACCACCTCCTCCACCTATAGGTGAGACGCCGAAACTCCAGAGGCCGCTCTTATCGCCTCTTCTGCCCGGACGGTGGATAATCAGCACGGCTTCTGGTATCTTCTATGGTGGAGCAGCACAAATAAGGGTGGATGGGTGTCTGTTTGTACACACTGCAAGCAAGAGAGTCTCATGTTTATCGGCAATCAAATCATCCATTTTATTTCCATACACATTGGGCTGCATATTAAAGATGTTATATTGAATTTCTCTCCAGTAACGAGTAAACAAAGCTTGCAAACAAACCCCTAGTTAATTAATGAAAACAGAAAACCAATGCAGCTGCTTCCAAACATCTTTTGAGATATTTGGAGTTTATAGAGCACAACGGGTTTGAGTGTTTTAATAGCTCCCCATACTCTGCACTTTTAAGGTAAAAGCTATTGCTCATCATTTCATTCCAAACTGGTTGCTAGGCTCCTTAGGAAATTATCATCTTGCTTGCAGTGCGAACAGGCTGTATCTTTGCTTCTATTTGAAGACACAGCAGGTTACTTTCAATATGCCTTTTTTCTTTGCGGTTTATTAACGTTTTTCTCAATCCTCAGTGGTGGTGGTGCTTCCTTATTCTTCACTGATCTTTCTATAATTGGCTGATGAAGAAGTCTCATATCACCTAAGGCCTGTCAAAAGTTAATAACTGCCTGGTCTATTTACATTTGACCTCAATCTGCAGTATATTTAGGCTATTAACATTGATAGAAGTGATGATAACTTTAACAACCTACATTTAAAAATGAAATGTAAGCCCTCCAAACATAGGTAGTGGCAGAATGTGTAGATTCCAAAAATAAGATTATTAATTAATTTACCTTTGTGATTTTTGAGACTTCTTCTACACAGGTAAGTTACCCTTTTACCAAATAAAAGGATGTTGGATTGGTGCAGCTGCATTACTCAAAATGTTATTATAGCATACATCATGATTGGGAAGTAACGAAGGAGACCATTTTGGTAATTCAGATATTTTATATCTCAGCTATTATTTGCTACTTAGTTATAACCTATATAGCGGGAAACTAAATAAACACCACCAAATTGAGTTTTTACATAGAGATCAATTGTATAAAATAAGACTTTATTTATCCCGAAGCAAATTATTTTTGCCAGATTTATAAAAGGTACCATCAACATAATTAGCATATTAAATTGAACAACAAACTACTTGAAACAAAGATGGAACAAGTAATGAATGTAAAAAAAAGTACAGTGATGAGCGGTATTGTAACAGTACACAATAATGTAGGCCTACAGATTCGTAATTGCACATGTTAGTATAGCACATTATTTGTATTATTATATAGCACATGATGTATAGCAGAGAGTTTTGTGGTGGAGTGGCATCCAAAATATGTTCACTCAGTTACTACCAAGTGCTGCATAGCTAACTGAAGTAACTGACAAAGCTAACGTAAACTTGCTAATGGCTAAAACTCGACCTGCTTGGATTAAGGAGTATACAAAGTAAAGAAATATGGTCAAAGTTTGATTTCGCATTTGATCAGAATATTGGCAAACTCTTACATTACATGTCATTATATTCACAGCATACCTTTTTTAAATTACAGAATGACATGCCAACAACATTGAACTAGCTAGCATGCTAACATAAAACTAGCTAGCATGTCATTGTTCCAAATGAAGACACCTAATACTAACTCTGAAACGCAGCCATTTGTTCCATGTATGCATAAGTAAATATACAAAGCATTGTCATTCAAGTTTAATATATTGTTTTCCCCCCTTTAAAATAATTGTACACTTTTTGAGACTTTAATAGACCATGCTTAATGTTAACTAGCAGCATGTTTAAACCTTACTTAAGTCATAACTAGCTAAAACACTATTTATATTTGAATGTTGCAATCTGATTTAGTTACACTATTCTAAAGATGGCTTCTATTTACTAAGAACTAAAGAATGAATGGGAGATCAATCTTGCAGCAGCTACATTTACAACTGATATCACATATTATGATTTCTGGTTAATGAAGTTGGAACACATTTAAATAGCCATTTGATTGATGGAAACATTCAATACTGCCTGATGAAGCTTCAATTTACCGGGGATATTGACTCTGAATCACTGGAATATGCTGGTTTTGATTTCCTGTCAAGAGCTCTGCAAAGCTCTACCAACGACTTTGTGTTTGTGTTTGTACAATGGCGGCTCATATCTGATTGACTGCAGTAATCTTCAGCGAGATGATCACTAGAAACATGCACATTTAATCCTCAGAACATCAATGCAGCTATAATTACTTCTGCTAGTGGCGGTATGCAGAAGTTTGTTTGCCCCCTGTGTTCCTCTGAATCTCTACTTCCTCTGGTTCCACCCATCCCTATCTGAGCAGGGCGCTATCTAGAAATGTGAACAGGAAATACTTGAGACGAACAAAATAAACCTTTTTCTCACTAACACACCCACTCGATGAATAGTCTGCACATTTTCAATGTAATGTTGAAACATTGTGGATGCTGTTGCTGATTTGGAAGTTACATTGTTTTCACATCTGTGGAAACGTAAATGATCTGTTGGTTCTGCTGCTGCTCTCTTTGCTCACTGAAGCGTTTCCCTCAAGAACTCTTAGGTGCCGGATTTATTCTCTCGACTTTTGTTTTTCATTTCACCTTAATTAAATATCTGTCCAACTGTATGATCAATTGACAATCTGTGCTGCTTCCCTAGCTCACCTTGCTTCCTTAAATTGGTTATTGATTGTCTTTTCATAAGGTGTGGGGCTCTAATCAGTATGTAAAAAGCTCACATTATCTTTTATAAACTTGATGATTCATGTGTTGGGTGCTTTTTTTTTTTTCTCCTTCTTCCTTGTCCTCTGTCTAACCCCCCTCTTTCGTCTCATCTATCCTTCCTCTGTTCCTCCCCTTGTCTCTGGGTGTTTCTAGCGGTGGCCCCTGGGCCTGGTCTGGGACCCGCTCCAATGTCCCAGTTTGGAACCATCTCGCGGCAGATTTCGCGGCACAACCCCTCCAACTCCTCTGTCTCTATGGTTTCGGCCACGGGCACGTACCGCCGGGCGCCGTCGGTCACTTCCCAGTTCTCCTTGCAGCAGCAGCAGCAACTACAGCAACAACAACTACTACTACAGCAGCAGCAGCAACAACAGCAGCAACAGCCTCATATTAATGGAGGCACTCATGGCTACGGCCAGAACTCAAGTAAGGCCCTTCTATCTCCAGCCTTTACCTGCGTTATACATTCTGAACTGTCACTGAAGCACACAATGTCACATTTCTTCCAAATCATGCACTGTCACAAACTAAAGAAAGCTAACCTTTGTAGCCACATATTTGCATGAGAGTCACTGCGGCCTAGATTGAATTCTTGTCAGTATTATTGACTTCTCTTGCAGATTGATGGAGCGGGTTAAGGGATAGTTCACTGTTTGTACCAGACGGACCATTGTACCAGCAACAATTTAAAACAAAGTACTGTGGGGAAGCCAAAGTGACGCATAAAATCAACAAACAAACCAATTTAGGCATTGGTACACTAGGAACTCCTGTGTTATGCGAGTTAAAATCACAAATGTTGTCAATGCACTCTGCTGGCTATGTCGAGAGCATAGGTGGATTTACTGTAAAGGCTCTGTGGGACAGGGCTGTCTAATGTCAAGGTAAAGCTGTGAAAATATTCTAAATTAAGTATACACTTGAACTAGATTTCATTACCTGGGCCCCTTTTTTTCTAGTTAATATAACTTGCTGCAGCCCCCATCCAAAGCAGTTTATCTTTACTTACATGCCATAACTTGGTCTGTTATTCAAAGTTCTAAAGGCTAACTACTCTGACTGGGTGCATAAGTACCTCATACATCCCATCTTCAAAACTGAACAACCCCTTCAAGGCTTTTTATCAATCAGCGGGATGACTTTGGTATTTATGCAGAATTTGTGTCTTTTTCTAGGATTTGACAGCAGATTTCAACCAGACACTTTCTCTCAACAATAGTCGCAGTTTTTGGTTATGTTTTTGCAGAAGACTAGTAACCTGTCAATATAATTCTCTGTTCATCATGTGGGTTTTCATTCTTTAAAACTAGCTACTGTCTAAGATGCAGTCTCTATTTGGTGATAACATGTGATTGGTCTGGTTACATTCTATGGATAAAGACATCCAATCAGGACCTTTACATTACGTTATTATTTTCGAGTCACCCTTTAAACGGAAGACTTGCTAGCTTCTGCCACAGCTTGAGATAGCAGACAGAAATGGAGCTAGCTGACCTTTCACCTTGCTTGGAGGATTCTTCCCCCCCCCTTAAGAATGTGGTCACACTGTAAGGAATGCATGCACACCTGGCTGAGATCAGACCAACAGACCACCTCCAGATGTGTTCAATCGCATTCCGTTCACCATGTGTTTGACGGCATTGACACCTGGCAATAATGTGCTTGTTTTGCCTGGGTGTGCATTTACAGAAGCACTATATGTCCGTATTTATTTGTGTCTCTATTGATCTATCCAAGTGCAAATGATCCGTCAAAAGTATGAATTCAAAGTGCTCTACATAGCTTCTATCTATCTGGGGAGTTAAGCAGGTTTGCTTGGATTTAGGATAGGGTTGATAGACATCCAATACAAACAGCGCCTCCCTCTGGCCAATCACATCCTTTCTTTTAAAGGTCCCATGTCATGGCCATTTCTACTGATCATAATTCCATTGTTGAGGTCTACTAGAATAGATTTACATTGTTCAATGTTCCAAAATCACATTGGTTTCTCATACAACATATATATGTATAACATGTGTATTCACTCTCTGTCCTAAACGGCTTGTTGGAGCTTTTTCCAAGAAAACAATGGAAAAAGATAAATCTCCAACGAGGCGTTCTGGGGCAGCAAAGACGGGTATTGTCTGTGTTAGAGTTTTACTCGCTACAGGGTGTACATTGAGGGTTTGTGACTTTGCAGACCGTTTACATGCAGATAAATCTAGATAACACACAAGGGGATGGGTAATAACTGGAAAAGCATGACATGGGACCTTTAAAGCAATGAGTGTGAGCTGCCTGATTGACAGAAATCAAACCTAATCTGCAGTTTATCCTCTGGCCTCAGCAATCCCATGTGAAATCTCATCACGAACGTCACTGTACTTTTGTGTTTTCTGCAGCTAAAGACGGTTGAATTAATTACTCTGTTGACCCTTGTTGCAATAATTGATCATTCAAACATTTTCTTTCAATAATTTGGGAATTTATAAAATGTCTGAGTCGACAGTTTACTTAATTCGACCAAGCACATCACTCTGTCTGTTAGACTTGTAGAAGCTCACATTCCTGCAGTGTGTCTGTCTTTAGTCTGTGTCACTGTTACGTATGCTTGGTATCAGGTTGCACTCTTGACTGTCTTCTGTATATTCGTGGTGACTGATGGGGCTTTTTCTGTTTGTTTTTTTTTGTTGCTTTCTTTCTCTGCCTCTCCGTTTTCTTCCCTGCTGGCTTTCAGTGTCTATCGCTCCTCCTCCTCCCCCCATGCCCCAGCTGACTCCACAGATACCTCTGACTGGCTTTGTGGCCAGGATGCAGGAGAGCAGTAAGTGAAGAGGCTAAGACATACTTTCCTCCCGATCCATGCCAACTACTTCCCTTTCCAGAACACCCAGCATGCCTCATTCTTGTTCTTCCTCTTCCCTTTTTCTTTTGAGAACAAATAATACCATCCTTTTGTAGCAATACCAGGAATGTGTCTCATTAGAGTCCCGTCATTGTTAACGCAACTTTTAAATCTGCAGTTTGGAGAGAGATTTATTTCTTCATTGTTGCTGTTTCTTTTAGCACTACGTAGCTTATTTTCTTGGCAAAGGAGGTATCTTTACAGTACATGCAGTGGAAAAGCTACCATCCGAGACTGTTAAGGCCGCCACCTGCTGTTTTTAGTGATGTATTCTCATGCAGGAGATTGTATTACTGCCTGAAGCTTGGTTTTCATATACTGGATATAGCACTGCACAGTTGAGCTCAGATGAATGATAATGTTTAAGAAGAAAATTGCCAAAGGTCTCTAAAAAACGTTGCTGCCCCCTGCTGGATGATAACCTACAATACAAAGCAACTTTAGATGGTGTATGTGTGTTAACATACAACACTTTGTATCGTAGTTTTATAAGAAATGTTCATTAGAAGATATCTACATAGTACATAGCTTTTTTTTATGGCTTTGTCTCCAATGATGTGGATGCCATGACACTAACCTTTGACCTACTAAATAGCATGACACAGCATGTGATAATCATCAGATCATGGAAATGTTCACAAATCCTGTGCAGTTCCCCTTTGCAGAGAGCTTCAGAACCACAACAAGAGGAGCACGGAGTACATACATCCTTTAAGAGGCGTAAACATACAGTATATCATGTATTCATGTTAAAGGTGGAGTCAATGATTCTAATGGAAGACTGCAGAATATATCTGATTTGTATTCTCATTGGAATGTGAACTAGGGCGAGAGCCACATACCAAGACTTAATATCAGTAGAAAACTGGATTTTAAATTGTAACTATAATTATTTTGTTGTATTGGTGCCTTTTATTCTATTCAAGAATCAATTGGTCATATATTTGCAAGTAAAATCATTATTGCATATTTTCTTAATATCAGGCAACCAATACCTTTCATGTCAAATTTAGTACATATAAAAAAAAAATGGGGTATTTTTTGGGTGTTGAAATATCTAGTCTTTCTCCAGAATCACTGCCTCCACCCTAAAGTGATCCATGGAATGTGTTTAACAGTGATGCAGCCTGCTTGACAAATGTAATATTCAAATACCATTCATACACCCTCCATCATTAATCCTGCATGCTTCATCAGCCGTCCTCTCCATGTCCTTGACCTTTTGACCCCCTCGAAGAAAATCTAACTTTCTGTGTCTGCTCGACAGTTGCAGATACTCCTACTCCACCTCCCCCTCCGCCTCCAGATGACTTGCCCCTGTTTGACGACTCTCCTCCACCTCCTCCGCCTCCTCCAGTTGATTATGAGGAGGAGGATGCTGCCGTGGTGCAGTACAGTGACCCCTACGCTGATGGAGACCCCCAGTGGGCCCCCAAGACCTACGTCGAGAAAGGTTTGCGGCAAAACATCTACTCCAACATCTCTTGTACTCGGTACTCTTTATTAATAAAAAAGACTAACAATTTCAATATACACATTGTTACATGCTACTGTTGAACTTCTTTAAATATTGTTAATATTTTACCTTTAACCGCTCAATTTTATTTTTACATACCTTTTTTTGTACATATCATTTTATTTTTACCTTTATTTGTTTTTATTCTTCTTATATCAGAAATATTATTTTATATTTTATTGCACATGTTTATTTGAACTGATGTTTGTATAAATATTGTTAAATTATTTAAACTTTTTTACTGCACATTTTTATTTGTATTTTACTTGCGTTTAAAATACATGTTTTATTATTTTTATTTATTTTTATATTATTTAACTTTTATTTTACATTTTATTTTGAACTTATATTTATATAAATATTGTATTATTTATTTCATTTAATCTTTATTGCACATCTTTATTTTAACTTCTGTTTATGCATATTATGTTGTTTTTATTTTCATTGTACACTTTTACTTTAATTTCTTATGTTCATAAAATATTTTTTTTAATTCTAAAATAGAACAACACTCAAAGTCCACTTACCCCTGGGATAATTAAATAATTCTGATTCTAATTCTGAAAAGTGAGCACAACCTAATCCAAACCTTCTTTTCCATTGTCAGTGGTGGCCATCTACGACTACAGCCAGGACAAGGACGACGAGTTGAGTTTCATGGAGGGTTCGATCATTTATGTCATCAAGAAGAACGACGACGGCTGGTATGAGGGCGTTGCCAACGGCACCACAGGGCTGTTCCCCGGCAACTACGTGGAGTCCATCATGCACTACGCCGACTGAAGCAGTAACAGTAAAGTCTATTTATTCAGTCACATCATAATCCACTGAGAGACTGACCGCCGCAACCTTGACTCCCGAGACGCGTAGACATAACTGTATGATCCCCTTTTGATATGACAGAATGTTCTTTCCCTTACTGATTGCAAATAAAATGAAAAGTAATATCTATTTAGTTTATTTTGGTGTTATATGGGTGGGGTTGGGGACATTTATTGAATATGTAAAAAAGAAAAGAAAAAAATTGGACTGATCACGCCCGTTGAACTCAAAGACGATGGTCACACAGCTGAAGGATGTACGACATCATCTTGCCTGGACAAAAAAAAAGGAGATTCAGAAGTGAATGCTTTCTGAACACGAGTATTAGGTTTTGATGGAACAAATCAAATGTAAAACACCTTCAGTGGAAGTGTTTGTACTGTCAGTTGTATATATTGTGAGCTGCAGCCACTTGAGTTTCTGTAATGTGAATTCAGTGAATGTCGATTACATGATAGTTTTCATTGGTGGCGCCCTCCTCGACTCAACAAGGCTCATTGGTCAAATAAGACAGCCGGTCAATCATTTACAAATTGAAATACTGTATATGGTATTTTAAAGACAATTACTCCTGAAAATCTTGGCATTAAAAGCATGCAACATTTTAAGAGATATAATGTAATCTTAAGTTTATTGCTTCCATAATGTTGTAAATGTATTCACCTTTTTAATTTTTATTACACTGTTGAAATCACTGAACTGTTTTTAGACTGACGTAAGTTTCAGGCATCGGATATTAACATCAAATTGACTTTTTCATGCATTTTGGATCTGTTTAAAGCAAGAGAACACATTTCATTGTTTGGCTTAACAAGCATTCAAAGATTGTCACGTCACTGTTAGTTAATAATAATCCTTGTAAAAAAACCTGTAGGATCCATTGGTAACTGGCTATAATGGACTATGATAGACAACGGATAATGTGCAGTGATTTTTAGGCTGGAATAGATGCATGACACTGCCATGACAATTCAAATGTAATGCAGACCAATAAACAACTAATACCTCCTCAGCCTTCAAAAAGCAACAAGGACCATGTTGAATGCTCTGAACATGAAATCCTCTGAGCTCTTTGTATTTTTAACTCTAGTAAAAAAAAATCAGCTGTCACTCAGGTCTAACATCATGATAACGTATGTCTTTCTGTTGGCCACCATTCTGTACGTACCATTTAACAACATCAGACCATTTCAGGATACTGCAGCTTATGCCTTGATATTTTGCCCATTTGCTTTAGGAATTTCCAATTTAAAAACATGTTCTGGCTCAATTTCATGGGTAGAAATATAGAAATCTGTCTGCCCCTCATTTGTACATATAATATGTTGATTGAAATATTAATGTACAGTCTTTTTATAATAAACAATTCTATGTACAAGATGCATGTGTGGTCACTTGGAGGGAATGCAAGAGGAACGTACATTTATTGAGCACATAGTCGTTGTGGATGAAAAGGCCATGGTTGTTACAGGGCACTTTGCATTGAATAAGTAACCTTACAGCATTTCACAAGTCAAAACACATGTTTGGCCGCTGAGGTTTGGACGGATCTTGTCAAACAGATCCAAACGGACACAAGGGACAATGTTGCACTTCCTTTGGAATAACACAGATGTTGCAATGCTCACATACCACTCAGTCAAAGTTAGTTTCAAGCATGGTAGGATGTTGCAATGACAGTACTGAATGAAATGTATAGTTGGAGTGCAGCATCAATTTCCTGTATTTCATATTTCCTTTCCAAGTCCTAGCTGTTGACTCCATTCCAGACATCTGAATCAATGTATTTATATATGGTGCTATTTTAAGATCTCCCCCCTGCCACCCATGTATATTTTTTGGAAGTGTACAGACACCAGTCTCTATGCTGTCACTTGATTGTGATTTAAGTGTTCGGACACATCAGTATGCTGCCACATTCAGAGTTTGACTCAATCCAGCACCAGGGCTCCTTCCTAACAAACTCTCTTTGTCCGACCTGGCCAGCTCAAACATGGCGGGCAGGATGATTTGCTTTTCTTCAGGTTGCTGCCTCGAGTGAATCCCAGTGGTGGAGGTTCACTTGTCTCTGGTGAGCACCATCTCAGTGAGTCTGATGAGGGCGTCTCTCTCCGCCGACGGCCTGAGCATACTGATCTGTCTGATGGCCTCCTGACAGTAGTGCTGCGCCAGGTTTTTGGTCTGTTCCACGCCGTCGCTCTAAAGAACAAGAAGGGGTGGCAACATTGTTTTAGTCTTCATTTATTCAAGCAATTGTGTTTCGGCAAAGCTCTACTTCTCTTTCACTGTTAAACATGAACCCTGATTGGTATTATGGACCACTTAGTGAATCTCAGCTGTTTGAGTAGAGAGTGTTCGGATTATTCTGTCATCACATGAATGCAGCACAAATGCCTTGTTAACAAACGTGTAACGTTGTTAGTGTATCGTGCCTAAGCATCTTTCCCCTTACAACACAAAATCCCTGGCTATGGAGAAGTACCACACTTTAAACCATCTGAACTTGTCGTAATGAATCACAAACCCATTTTAAGAAGAGATACGTGTATGTCATTTATGCTTTATTATATCATGAGAGCTTGGAGAGACTGCCTTGATAAATGATGTACAGTATAAGCCGCCTGGCGAAAAAACCTAATTCTTCATATTCATCTACCCTTATTTACAGTAACAAATTCTCAAAGTAGATGTTTTACGAAACCTTTACATTCAAACCCTTACATTTAAATATGTATTTGGTGTTTAGCGAATTATTGTTCATACCTGAAAGACGTATTGCCAGGCTTGATCTACGTCTCCTTTAGAGCTGAAACGTCTCATGATCATTGAGTGGAGCTCGGGAAACTGGAAAGACAGAAAGAAGCTGAGTTAGAGACTGACAATCAACAGTAATGAAGTGTGTGTGTGTGTGTGTGTGTGTGTGTGTGTGTGTGTGTGTGTGTGTGTGTGTGTGTGTGTGTGTGTGTGTGTGTGTGTGTGTGTGTGTGTGTGTGTATTTTCCAGTAACTTCATACAGCAGTACAGTTTATATTAAAGCTTACATAGGTGAACAAAAAGTGCTAATGTGGATCTCACCTGTTGACAGGCAAACAGCACCGGTCCAGTGGCCAGGCCCAGTTTGAGATCTGCAGCCGAGGGCTTCCCCAGGTGGTTGGCCCCTGATGTGAAGTCCAAAACATCATCCACCAGCTACGAGACGGAGAAAAATAACAAAATGTATAATTATTTTATTTACATTCCAGTTCTACAATCCATTATGTTCTCGATAACAAAACATGTAATCCGACACAGTAAAGGGTATTCTCATAATTTAGCCAGTTCATTCAAAACGGATTCAAACAGAAAGTTACCTGAAATGCGATGCCAACATTCTTGCCATACTGGTAGGCTATTTCATGGACCTTAGGATCAGAACTTACTAGAACGCATACCTTTAATGAAAGAGAAGAGAGAGTTAATACAAAATAAATAAAGAGTAGAAACTGAGCCGTCTAACTAAAATGGAAGGAGTCTCTAACTGCGGTCAAATAGTAAGAAAAGCATCCTAGAGTTTTCCCAACCATCTGTTCAAGAAAAGGTGTAAAGAGAATTCATTAGGACTTAGGAAAAGACGACTGTGGAGCTTACTTAAAAGACGGTTGAGTCATTTCACTCAGTTAGGAACTCAGTTTCTTCAATTCTCTGGTATGTGTGTGGAAACAGAACGTACATACTGCTTTACAACTGTTTGCAATCAGACTCGCTGTCTTCTTGAAGGTTTTCTCCAGGTAGTGTTTGAATCTCTCGTTCTCGTTCTCTTTGGAGCCCAGCTGCATGAATTCACCTGGAAGTCAAACCAATTCAGTTTAGGGAGTTTGCTAACGGACATCTAAGGAGATTTTATAACCGACTGATTTTGCAAAATGGCATGAATAATGTGATTGCTTCACCTCGCACCAGATCCTCTATCACCTGGGAAAACACTTTTACAACCGTGTTGTTACCAATTCGCGCCATGGTTATGGAGGCAACTGATAGGATGAAATCTCCAGCCAAGATTGCCTGGAAAGGAAAAAAAACAATCATTCATAAAATAAAATGGCAATTAAGTGATAAAGCAGAATATATCAAGTGGATAAACAGGGGAAGGTTTTTCAGCCGATTTCATTACCCTTACCTTTTTTTCACCCCACAGTTCATTGATAGTTCCCTTCCCCCTTCGTTTATTAGACCCGTCTATAACGTCATCATGCACCAGGCTGGCAGTGTGGATCATTTCTGTGATCATAGCTACGGCCCTCTGCCCTGGGAGCAATTCTCTACAGAGGACAACAAATTGCAGGAAATGAGAGAAGATAAAACCCTGGACTGTGATTCACATGACAATTAAAAGAGTTATAACAGGTATCAAGGGTAAGAGGCAGTTAGTAGTGTAAGGGAAACTTCTGTGTAGCAGCAATGCAGTGGGAGTCACCGACTCAGGAAAGAGACACGGTAGAGCAGGAGCTTTGATGTCAAACACTGATGATTTATTTGAAGTTTCGGCCAGAGGATTCACATCACAAGTCACAGCAGTCACGGTGAGACTGCACGGGTGGGTTGCCACGTCAATTCTGGAGCGTCTCTCTCTCGTTAGCCCATTTAACTGGTTTCACAGAGAGTAATCAACATATTTTGATAAGATAGCTTAGACAGTTGGGCACACTGAGTTACTTGCGTCCGTCACTTATGGCCTCGAAGATTTTATACCTTGGAGTCCACAAACACAGAGAAGGAAGTGTCCCAGTGCACCCACAACAATAGACCATCTGTGACCTAGTGTTGCCCGGTCACAGAATGGGAACAATAACATTATGGCTGAAGCAGCCTATCTCCTTAAAGATAACAGACGTCAGGGTTGGTCATGTACGTCATATCTAGGAGTCTAGGACAATTATTCCCCTAACAAGTAGGGAAAAGAGAACATTTGTGGAAGTCTAGAGTGATCTTTTTTTTTTTACCCGGATCTGTTGCTGTGGCTGTTGAGTGCCCGCGCCATCAGGACAACTATCATTGGTCGGATGGCCTTGCCTTTTCCGTCAAAGTAGTAATGACATAAAGCCTTCAGCTCTTTAGTTACACACAACTCCTGTAAAGCAACAAATCATTTCTATTAGTTGCATCAAAACAGCTACTAAACAAGATAAACATTTGCAAAAAACCCCATGACTGTAAAATGACTTCTGCTCATTTCTAACCAACATCTTTTTAAGATAACAACACAGGTATGGCTCAATAGTATTACAGCTGAAAGAACTCTGCAAATCCATCTGTCTCTATGATTTCTAGACAGAAAATGCCACTATTTTATATCTAAAGAAACATAGAGGAAAAACTCAGTATTTCAATGTACCTTTCTGATGTCATCATATAAATTAGTGAGATCTTTCTGTGCTATTGTGAAGGGGTCCTGAACCTTCACATCTGTGTGTGCACTGTTTATGCAAAAGCAAGACTTTAGTGAGGGATCCAGCAACCGCAGTTTGTGTCTGCGAAGAGAAAAACAACAACATACAGCAACTGTGAAACATATAGAAATACAGAACATATGCGTATAATGTTAAATAAAGTTTGTAATACGGTATAAATGAAATATGTCATTGAAAATGGCCTATATTACTGTGGTACAACATACAGTGTTTGTCAATCATTTTTGCATAGCCCAATGTTATCAACAATATGTACAGGATAGAACACCTTTCAACCTGAGGGAAAATATAGGCCAATTTTTAAATTGAAATCTAAAACCTGTCTTGCAGTGTAAGGTGAACATTATAATAATTACAAAAATCCAGGAATATTTTGGTTACATTGCAAGGCCTTTGGTAAAGACAACTCACCTGGTGAGAGATCTGGTAAAGTTAAAAGTGTTTGGACCTGTCCGTCTTCGCAGTGCTGATGGCTGCCCCTGGAAAAAACAAAGGACATGAGACTTTTAGACTTTAGGTTTTGTATCAGGCTACTTTTAGGCCAGCAGAGTTAGCATTTCAACACAAAATGCATTATTACTGGCAGCTTGGATAAGGCTTTATACCTTGGTGTAAGAAATATCCTAAATTATTTACATTCAAGTAGATGAAAACGAGAGTGTATATACTGTACTATGTATGTCTATACATATAAATAGCAACAATGACCCACAGTATAATGTCTTTGTAAAAGGTTTATAGATAAAAATAACAAAAATGCAAAGTGAACTCGAGAAACATGATTTAAACAGCTAGCTATGTAAAGGTCAGGGTAATTAATATGCATTATGGAAGGTCTTGACCTTAGTGTATTCAGAGCACGGTGCTGAGTTAATTCTGTAAGAGCCAACAGCCCCTGCCACAAGTAAGTGAGTCACCATTCAGTTACGAAATACTAATAGAAAATAAGACACTAAATTGCTCAAATCCTAACATTGACTGGAAACGTCCCAGACAGTACAGTAATACACCAGTAAACTAAAAATCGCTAGCATTGAGCCGGGGAGGCTGACGGTTCGGTGGTGACCTTCCGGGGTTTCTGCAGCACTCCCTGCCCGGTGCCGATAGCAGCCGTAAACTCACCTCGTTCCCCGGCCCAGAGCTCCAGGATGTCCGCCCCAGAGAAGATGTGGAGAATGACACCGACCTGCCATTACTATACCACAACGTTTCGAATAAACTCGAACAGTTTGAATTCCACTTTGAGCATTGCCTAAGCAATGGGCACGCCATGTTCCCACAGTTAGTGGGACGGACGGACTGACAGGTTATTTAAGCGGAACCGGAAATGACAAGGTACTGACGTCGTTCCACGCGACGGAGTTAACGCTAGCTATATATGGGAGTTGTTACATTTCAGGAATGCAGTGGTAGATGTCAACAACTGTTGCTTTCTATTTAACTAAATATATCAAATGTGTCTTTGCCTAGTTCTCCAGGAATTAAGTAGATTGTGTGCGTAACGTTACTATTTGGAGATAGTAGCTAACAGCTAGCTTTAGCCTGTAGCCAATGTTGCTGTTGTTTTCCAGTTTGTTATACTGTAATATTGGACGTAATGCAGATTAATTAAATAACACTACTTTAAAATCCACACACAAAGGTTTTACGAAAAAGGTTGCCTTTAAAACCTTTAAGTCAATCTTGTTAAGTTATTAAAGTTAAAAAGAAGGAAGAAAAACAATAAAGTTGCCTGCAATTAGGGTATTTTTTCACATGCATAATTGCAGTGTCAATGACATGTGAGCTTGTTTGCCATTGGTGTAAATTATGCCATGTACATATTTTAGTAAAGTTTAAGTTGCTTGTACTGTGTGCATTTTTCCATGTAATGCCACCTTACACTTTTACTCCAGTAAATGACATTTCAGAGCAAAATTCTTTGCCGGTTCAGATTTGAACGTACATAACCTATGATCTATAGGCCTACATAAAATATATGAAGTTGTATAGATGAACTACCCAAAGAGTTGGTTAGTTTTACTGTTAAGCTTATTTTGGGAATATTACTTAGGCTAAATCAAGTAAAAAATAGTATTGAATGTAGTAGATCATTATAGTGTTATTGCTACTTTCACTTCAGTACAGGTTTGAGTTCGTCCTCCCCAAATGCGCTGTGTGCTCCAGCTGAAAATAATTTTGTACCCATTTTCAAATCTACAAATAAAGCTTACAGGCAGGTTCCTTTGAGGCGGTGTCTGTGTCTGACATGTGGAGCCCTAACCAAATGTTAGTGTTAGCACTGGTAGCAGCATCCAGCTTCACATCTGTACATGTTCTGGAGTTCTGCCAGAGTACTGACCGCGACTGCCATAGTGATGATAATCATGACAATATGGCATCAAACAGCCAGCCGTCCCTACACACTGTCAAATCCAGGTGGAATGTGAGTGTTTCCAACCTTATAAAAGACCTGGAGCAGTTGAAAGTGTCCAGCAAGAAGCTAATAGGTAAACAATTATCTTCTTTTGTATGTACTTTTGAGGGTGATACACTGATAATGTCACGATTCAATTTTTTAAATATGTTCTGCAGAAGCATTCCCGATTGATGAGGTTAATGGCAACTTTGCTCGCTCTGTAAAGAACTGCATATTCTCCAAATCCATTCCAACTCCACTGAGAGGCCCATTGAGACTGGCAGCAGCTTCTAAGGTGATCTTACAATATCATCAGCAGCACCACAGAGTATTTACAGTGAGATGTGAATAATTCATTTATATTTGAATTTGTCTCAACAGGACGTCATCGAGGGAATTTTAGACTTGGATGTGGCTCTAACCCACACCAATGATTTCCTGCATTTTGCCAGTGGGGACAAACTGCTATCAGGATCTGTACCTCTCGCTCACAGATATGGAGGTCATCAGGTCATGATTCATTTGTTTTCTCTGTTTTGCAGTCTTCATTTTGTGCACTTATAGTTTATACATTTGAACCTACTAATGTAAATTGCAACATATAAAGTTTCAAATATAGACTTTTATTTAAAGTACAATCAAGCTATGCAGAATGTCCTTAGTGGTACACGGTTTATTGTATTACCTCAAATCTACTGTGAATATTTATAAAGTGCTTTAATAATACCACAAAAATATAATTATTTGAGGACATATACAGTATTACTTTAACAGACAATACATCAACAGAGGACTACAATAAGACAAAAACAAGTTGATTAGAAAAGTCAAAGAAATGTTACATTCTGTTTTTAAATTGTATCGTTTTATTCTACTGATTAATCACAGTTGATGACGTTAAAATGCTCCTTCTCCATCAGTTTGGGTACTGGGCAGGTCAGCTTGGCGATGGTCGAGCACATTCCCTTGGTCAGTATACAAACAGGTGAGAATGTTATTAGGTCCCTTGTGTTTCCAAAGTATTTGTCATGGTTTTGGACTTATGTTGCCAAATTCCGGTTTTATTTTGAAATTCTGTTCTCCCTTTGTCTGGTCTTCCTTCCTGTGTTTGCCCTCCTGTGTCTGATTGTCTCATTGTGTTCCCCTGTTGTGTTTCTGCCTCCCCTCCCCAGCTGTGTCTTGTCCTGTGATTACCCTTCTGTGTATTTAGTCTTGTCTTCGACTTTTTGTCTATGTTACCTGCTCCTGCTTGTAAGTTTGTTCCTGTCTGTCATGCTCCCCGGTTTTGTTAATGTTTAGTTAATTCTTGTTTTTCCTGTCATCGGCTTTTGTTAAATAAAGCTCGCTTGGTTCGATTTTCTACTGCGTTTGGATCCTCTTACCATTATCCTGACAGTATTGTAAATTCTCCAGTTAAATATTTGACTTTCATTCCCTTTTAAAATGCCCCAAAGGAAAGGAGAAGTGTGGGAACTGCAGCTTAAAGGCTCTGGGAAGACACCTTATTCCAGGTATGTTTTTTGTCATACCTGTTCACATCATTTTTTCTTGGTTCCCTTTGCCACATTTGGAATCATTTTGTTTCTGGGATAACAAATGGCTGCAAGCGCCATCTTTTTTTAATCTGGAACTTTAATATACGTTTTACTTTTTTTGTATGCAGGTCAGGAGATGGTCGAGCTGTCATCCGTTCTTCTGTAAGGGAGTTCCTCTGCAGTGAAGCCATGCATTTCCTGGGGATTCCAACCAGCAGAGCTGCCAGGTGATGGATGAAACTGGGTTAACTTTTGTAGTGCGATTAATATAATATTATTTTGTTTAGGATTCAAAGAATGTGTGCAGTTGTATCTGTAACTTACTACAGTACAGATAAAAGCAACATAATGTTTAAAAGACACCAAATTATTCAGAACGTGTACGTTTCTACTTCCCATTTAAGAAGTCGAGTATCTGTATTAACATGTATGGGTTCACAACATTATAAACTAAGATGAACTTCCTATGCGGAAAGAGAGGGAAAGAAAGGGCAGAATTATTTATGGATGAATTCAAAATGTATAACCCAGGGTTCGTACGGTCATTGAAAACCTGGAAAAGTCATGGAAATTCAAAATGCAAATTCCAGGCCCTGGAAAAGTTATGGAAAACAATGTTTTTCCCAAAGTTTTGGAAAAGTCATGGAAATGTAACTAAAGTTGCGTCAAATATAATTTACATTTTATCTAATCGCCGAAATAATCTGCGGTCGCGAGCTGTTATGTGCCATCATGACGCGCATGGTGTTCTTTTTTAATATATGAAGCGGGAGCTGTGTGCTCGAGTCTTCCTGCCTGTCGGCTGAACTCTGCTGCTCCGGGATGAGGGTCAGCTACATTAGCTACGGTGCGTTCGGTTCGTTAACTGTGCGGAGTCACTGTGGCACAGACTGCACCGCTGGTGAACAGCTGTTAGAACGGGCCGTTCAGGTGTTCAGAGCAGAGCGGCAGAGCGTGATGTGAACTGAAACGTTTTTCTGTCACAATATCATTTAAGGAATCGTTGAGCTAACTAGCTAGCTAGCTAGCATACATTGTCACTATTGGCGCGTTTCCACTGCAGCGGGTAGCGCGCTTTAAGCGTGCCGAGCCGTGCGGGGTCCGTTTTTGGTTGCGTTTCCACTTGGCCTAGTTTTGGCCCAGGGCTACTTTTTCACCTTTTTTCTGGCCCGACTAAATCGTGGTTCTAGGGCCAGGAACAACCAGGCTGAGTCGGGCTGAGTATGCTAAACTAGAGAGAGAATCGCTGGCAAGGGGGCTACAACTACAACAAGATGAACATATTTGACCGTGATTTAATTGTAATACACGTTTCAAAATGATGCCGAAGTAACAACATACTGATACCGGTTAGTAAAAACCATGAATTAATGCTTTGACAAGTCTGCAGACAGACGGCAGGCGAAAAACCCTTTTTAAAATGCGTGTTTTCTAAATGTAGCTTGGCTAAGCTAACGTTATATATGCTCCGATCGTCCACACTCACAACAACGGCCTATACAGACATACATAAACCAGCGACTGTATTCGCCATGACGCAGGCAGTCTGTGGTTTGTACTTGTTTAACTTTTGTCTAGTTTCTGAACAGATATGAGGAGCTGTGAGCTCTGAGTGCTAACAGCTAACGGCTTTGTTGTTTTTCTGGGGCTCTCATTGAAGATGACGTCACGGCTCCGCCTACACTGCGTTACTATAGTAGCTGCCCCCGTTCCTAAACTGTAATGGAAGCGCAGCATTAAAGTGAGCCGGGCCTAATAAGGCCTAACTAAACCGAGCGAGGCCTGCAGTGGAAACGCGCCATATCTGCTAACGTTAGCTTTAGCCTTCGTTTTCTAATAGTTGTTTTCATAGGCTATAAACGGAGGTGGTATAAGTATAGATATTGTGCTAGAGTAAAAGTAGAAGTACTCAGATCTTGTACTTGATTAAAAGTAGAAGTACTCAGATGTTCTTAAAAGTAGAAGTACTCAGATCTTGTACTTGATTAAAAGTAGAAGTACTCAGATGTTGTTCTTAAAAGTAGAAGTACTCAGATCTTGTACTTGAGTAAAAGTAGAAGTACTCAGGTCTTTTACTTGAGTAGAAGTACTCAGGTCTTTTACTTGAGTAGAAGTACTCAGATCTTGTACTTTAGTAGAAGTACTCAGATCTTGTACTTTAGTAGTAGTACTCAGATCTTATACTTTAGTAGAAGTCGAAGTACTCAGATCTTGTACTTAATAAAAGTATAGTACTCAGATGTTTTACTTGAGTAAAAGTAGAAGTACTCAGATCTTGTACTTGAGTAAAAGTAGAAGTACTCAGATCTTGTACTTGAATAAAAGTAGAAGTACCAGAGTGTAGGAATACTCTGTTACAGTAAAAGTCCTGCATTCA